CCACAACCAGCCACAGCAGCGGCAGCGCAGGTGCGGAGGGGGGTGAGCGAGCTGCCAGGCTTAGACTAGCAGAAACACCGTTTCCTCTAAGCTTACCTTTGCCAAAGCAGTGCAGGGCCTGCCCGTGGCCTGGTGGTTAGAGTGACAGGGTCCCACGTGGCCAACCCCACGGTTCAAATTCCAGCCCCAGGGTTTGAAAGACACGCTGGGTGCACGTGTGCCTCAAGTCCCAATGGGATGGACACAGAGGAAAAGGGATTGCGGATGCCATGACCGCGACATGCCTCTGGGCAGCACACCCCACCCCCTCTGCGGATCTCTCTCTGTAAGCCCCCTCTGGCAATTTATGAAAAAGGGATTAAAAATAATTACGAAGTTGCGACGTTCTTTCTGTACTTGAAATCAGGAAAAAAGATGTTTTTCTGGTCTCAAACCTTTTCATAGGCTCTGGCAAAGGTCACAGCCCACGGCACACACCTGGAGACCACACGGCCCACCCATGGCACATGCCTAGAGACCACACGGCCCACAGCACATGCCTGGAGACCACAAAGCCCACCCATGGCACATGCCTGGGGGCCACACAGCACACCCATGGCACATGCCTGGAGCCCACACGGCTCACAGCACATGCCTGGGGACCATAGCACACGCCTGGAGACCACACGGCCCACAGCACATGCCTGGGGACCACAGCACATGCCTGGAGACCACACGGCCCACGGCACACACATGGGGGTCACATGGCCCACAGCACACGCCTGGGGACCACACAGCCCACCCACGGCACACGCCTGGAGACCACATGGCCCATGGCACACACCTGGAGACCACACGGCCCACGGCACACACCTGGAGACCACACGGCCCACGGCACACACCTGGGGGCCACATGGCCCACAGCACACGCCTGGGGACCACACAGCCCACAGCACACACCTGGAGACCACACACAGCCCACCCATGGCACACGCCTGGAGACCACACGGCCCACAGCCCAGGGACACCGGCTCCTGGAACAGACGGCCCAGCACTGAGGGTCACGAGTCACTGATCAGAGCAGCCAGTGTGGACATAACTCAGAGGTCCCGGGGTGGGTGGTAACAGCACAGCACACCACCCACGGAGTCCTGGCCCGCCCTAGAGGTGGGGACGGTGCTGTGGTGAGTCTGCACCAGCTGGAGAAGGCCCCACTCTGGGCCTGCCTGAGCTGGTGGTGCCCAGGCCTCATCCAGCCCACTGGACTGGGGGCGGCGTGGCGTGCAGATCCGATGGGGAGCGGCTTTCTCTGCCATGTGTGGGAAAATTTTAAAAAGCTTTCCATAAAAACAAAACAAAAAACACTTGCATGCTACAGCCTGGTGAACCTCGGTGTCACGCCGAGTTGCCAGAAGACAATGCTGGGTCCACTTGGTGAGTCCCAGAGTAACCAGCCCAGGCCCAGGGAGCAGGAGGCGTCAGGGCCGCGGGGGCAGGCAGTGGCGTGTGGGACAGGCTCCGTTTTACCAGAAGAGAGTTCCAGCCACCATCCTGCTGATGCTACCCGGCTCCTCACTGCGGGGAAGCGGCCAGTGGGGGGCACTGTGCGGATCTCGGGGCTGCCATTGGCCGCCAGGGTTCAGTCTCAGTCCCCGGGCTTGAAAACATGCTGGGCGAGCCCATGGCCAGGATCCTGGAGCCTGAAGGTGGCGTGGTGGTTAAGGCACTGGACTCCTACACGGCCTACTGAGGTTCGAGTACCGGACCTGGCACCTTGTTCTCTCACTTCCTCTCTCTCTGTTTCCCTCTCTCGCTCTGTCCCTCTCTGGTCAAATTAAATATAAAAATTAAAAAATAAAGTTAAATAAAATAATTACTTAATTAAAAAAAATGCTGGGTGTGCGTGTGGCCAGGGTCCTGCCGAGGTGGGAAGCGGAGGGAGGCTGGGGTGGCCACCACAGGGGCAGCCTCTCTCCACATGTGCACTGAGCCACTCGCATCATTGTTATGTTGGAGAGGTTTTTGCTATAGGGCGCATGCGCTCACCAGAAAGACAGAAAGAGAGAGATAGAAAGCGAGAAATCACCCCCCAGGGAGGATGGCCATGCCGCAATCAATTCTCCTCCGTTCTCGTCTCGGGATCTTGGGCATGCACGCACACGCGCCCGGCGTGAGTTTAAGGCACCGGGTCCGGGACTCAAACCATGGATGACTACATGGGAGTTCAGTGTCATAACCATTACGCTAACTGCTGGTCTCCATTGGCATCTTAAAAAAAGGGAGAGAGTGTATTTCACTCTAGAGAGAGACACAGAGAGAGAGAGAGAGAGTAAGAAAGCACCCAGGGAAGATGGCCATGCCACAATCCCTTCTCCACTCTCCTCTCAGGATTTCGAGCATACACCTGGCATGTTTTTTCAAGCCACCAGGTCCTGGACTTGAACCGTGCAGTCGACCAGGTGGGATCCAGCACCTTGACCTCTGCGTCTCCTGCCGACCTAGATGGTCAGCTCTGTTGGTGGACGCTCTGCCACAGTGAGACCGAGACCAGGCCACCCTCCATGCCCCAGGCGCAGTGGCTCCTGACCTCGAGGTGTAGCCAGGGCAGACCCTCCCAGGCTCTTCTCCACGGGCCTCTGGAGGGCTCGCAGCTCAGAGCAGACCCCACCCAGTCTTCCACCGAAGTCCCTCAGGCTGGTGCTGTGCCCTCCCAGAGCACAGGAGGCCTGGCCGGCTCAGCACCCCACCCCACATCCCCCCACAAGGCAGAGCTGGCCCAGGGCTGAGGCCATTCCTGGGCCCTTTCCTGGAAAATCGGCACGGGGGCAGCCGGCAGGTCTGCAGAGTTGCTAGCCCTCATCTTTAGCCTTCAGCAGGCCCACCCGCTCTCCTAGGTCCCACCTGCTCCCTGGTGAGGACGCGAGAGCCCCCTGCAGCTCCCAGGAACGCTGGCCGCTGGCCGCCAGAGTGGAGCTGCTGGCAGAGTGAGTGGGACACTGGGCCTGGTGTCCAGCCCAGCCTTCGTCCCACCTGGTCCCGCCTTCAGCCCAGGAGAAAGTCTGTCCTCACTGCACACGGGAGACTGGATGTGCGGGTGGGCGGTGGCCAGATCACACCAGAGAACAGGACCTGGCCGTCACCAGCACCCCGAGGCCACATCGTGACCTCTGACCCCGCAGCCATGGCCAGACTGTGGGCGCTTCCCTAGTCCTGTAACTTCCAAGCAGGCCCAGGCGGAGCCAGCTACACCCACCCCTGCAGA